TACCGCTCGTTGTCCCCGCGCTGTCCCCGCGGCCTCGGGCCCTCTCCTCCGCCGCCGCCGCCGCCGCTGCCCGAGGCGGGGCCGTCTCCATGGCGACCGCGGCGCTTCCGGTGACGCCGGAAGTGAGTGCGGCCAAAACCCGGAAGTGGCGACGCGCACCTCCGCGACGCCACACTCAAGATGGCGGCGCAAAAGATGCTCGAATGTGACAGCGCCCCCTGGCGGACGGGAGGGATTGGCCCCCAAAATGACGTCAGAGGGGGCGGGTTTGGGGGAATCCCCGGGGGTTTCCCCCGGTCCCAACCACGAGGACACCGAGTTTGGGACCCCTCGAGGGGTTTGGGGACATTCCCAAAGGGTTTGGGGACACCTAAAGGGGTTTGGGGGCATCCTGAAGCGGTTTGGGGACATCCTCAAGGGGTTTGGGGGCACCTCGAGGGATTTGGGGGCACCCTGAAGGGGTTTGAGGACATCCTCAAGGGGCTTGGGGACATTCCCAAGGGGTTTGGGGACACCCTGAGGGATTTGGGGACATCCTGAGGGGTTTGGGGACACCCTGAAGGGTTTTGGGGACACCTCCAAGGGGTTTGGGGACACCCTCAAAGGGTTTGGGGACACCTCAAGAGATTTGGGGACACCTCCAAGAGGTTTGGGGACACCCCAAGGGGTTTGGGGACACCCTTAAGGGATTCACGGACCCCCCCAGTCCCGCACCCCAGTACTCCCAGTGTTCCCAGTACGTCCCAGTCCCGCATCCCGGTGCTCCCAATACATCCCAGTGTGTCCCAGTGTACCCCAGTGCCCCATCCCAGTGCTCCCAGTACATCCCAGTCCCGCACCAGTCCGCTCTTGGAACATCCCCGGGGGATCCCGCTGGTCCCGGGGGGTCCCGGGGTGTCCCGGGCGTGGCGCGGGTGACGAGAGCGATGAGCGGGGGGGCATTGGAGGCCACCGGGGGCCGTTCGGGTAAACTCGGGTCGATTCGGGTCCGTTCGGGTCCATTCAGGTTCGCTCGGGTCGATTCGGGTCCGTTCGGGTCCATTCAGGTTCGCTCGGGTCGATTCGGGTCCGTTCGGGTCCATTCGGGTTCGCTCGGGTCGATTCGGGTCCGTTCGGGTCCATTCAGGTTCGCTCGGGTCAATTCGGGTCCGTTCGGGTCCATTCAGGTTCGCTCAGGTCAATTCGGGTCCGTTCGGGTCCATTCGGGTTCGCTCGGGTCTGTTCGGGTGGATTCAGTTCAGTTCGGGTCGGTTCTGTTGGGTTCCGCTCATTTGGGTCAATTCAGGTTCGGTTCTGTTCGGTTCGG